TTCGATTGGGAAAGCAGAGGTAGGTGGATATCTGTGAGTGTGAGGCCAGCCTGGTATACATAGCAAGATCCAGGCCAGCCAAGCTTACACAGGGAGACCGTCTCAAAACAAAACAAAACAAAACAAAACAAAACAAAAAAACAGAACAAAACAAAAACATAACATTCTTGTACAGACAAGAGCAATAATATCAAACAAAACTGGAACAAGTCTTCAGTTTTGAAACACACACAGACATATGCATGATATAGGTAAATATATGTTCTCAAAAAATTCTTTGATATTAGGTAAGAATTGCAATTTTTGAGGCTAGAGAGATAGCTCAGAGGTTAAGTGACCTTCCTGTTCTGCTAAGGAGCCTGAGTTCAATTCCCAGCACTCACAACGTATGGCTCAAAACTGTCTGTAATGCAGACACACACACACACAAAAAAAATAAAATAAAATAAAAACTAAATTTGTAAAGAGTTGCAAATCTCTAAATTGTCCTCCCACACACATAGATACTGAAAATAAACTTTAAACTTTAAAATGTAGATTAAATTTCTTGAGCAAAAAAATAAAAAGAAATGATATTTCATGCAAGTTTACTTAAAGGTAATTGTTTTTCAATTTAAAACAGCACAAACTATCCAGAGGAAATTCTTTTTAAAAAGCATCATATATTATAATGTGCCTTTTAGCCAAACTGCCCTGTAAAATTTTCTTTTTGCTAATTGCACTTAGTGGTTATAAAATTAAATCAGTTGCATTCCTTGATAGTCACTTGGTTTCTTGAATTGTCAGGTAGAGAGATGAAATAATTTGTTTTGGAGCTGAGGACTTATGTAAGTGCATTTTAATCAAAACTACATTTAATAGAAAAGTTTCCATTCATATGCAATTTTAGCCTCCATAACAATTGATATTTGTAGAATTTATGTGATAATAACAAGAAGACATTCACATCCTTCATGTGGACCATCAGCCAGAGCTGACATTAAGAATACATGTAACATGACTTACAAGACAAGCTCTAACTAACTCACTCTGGAATCAGAATTTACCTCTACTATTCTTTTGTTCCTTGAGTTTACTATTGTTCAATATATGGAATATGAATATGTGCTTTCCTCTTTCATTCATTCATTTAATAAATATTTATTGAATATCAACTTAGTGCCAAACACTGTGCTAGTCCTGAGAAATTGATGAACAGGACAGACATAATCTCTGCCTTAAAAAAAAGAATCACATCCTACTTGACGAACTAAGTTTTATTGTAAAACTCAATACATGAGAGTATATTTACAATTGTATTACAGAGGAAATATGCAAGGTGCCAAGATGGTACGGGGAAGAATCAGCTTCCATAAGTTTGGACAGAAAAATGAGAAAAAAATGGCTATGTGAGAGATGGCATCCCTTCCCCAAAAAGATAATTTACCTTTCCAGCTTGAGACAGTGGACTCTACTTCCTAGTTTTTCTTGCACAGTTCAAGTACATATCTTTTAAACACATTGTGTACCGTGCAATTATGTCCAAGAACACAAGTAAATGCATTCTTTAACAAAATATTATGGAGGGAAATAGTGAACAAAGTGAATTACTTCAGTTTATACATGGGTTCTTTGTCATGAATGAATTTCATTGTGAGTCTGAAGTGCTAAGACCACAGACTCCAGGGACATGAAATAGAACCACCAAATTTTCAATGACTTCTGGATAAGTTGGGTTCATCGTGATCTGCAAATGTGAAAGGACCATGGGATGTTAAAACGAAGGAAACAAGAGCCAAGACTGCCCAATTCTCACTCTACATACAACTTTGCCACCCTAAAATCTGTGCTTCCTTGGCGCCTGCCTAATTATCTCACTTTTGGGGGAAGACAAGGGAGACTGATGGCCGACAGTCTGAAGGTTTAACCACTAGAGGGAGAAGCTGTGCCTCTGGTGACAGGGCGCCAATGAAAGCAACTCATTAAAAAGATAAACTTCAAGGGATCTAAGTTAAGCTGTACTCAGCTGGGAGCAAGGGCTCTACCAACTATGTTAGTTTGGGGGAATTTGAGGATAAATCCTTAAGACTCCAGAATGGATCCTCTTCTATAGAAGGATTCCATAGCTTTAAACTGTCAAGGTATTTCGTTTTAATTCTGAATGTTTTAATCAGTCTTCTCTAAGGATCGTTATAACTTCGCAAATACTTAAAAACATTAAAATGTACTTTTGAGGAGGGGAAATTTATAGAAGTTATGAAGTTATGTTACTATTTACATACTGGACACTGAAAACACTACAAAGGACATTCCAGGTTTTTCTGAGATAATTTAAGACTAGAATCTTTGCTATTGAGTTTATTAAAATGTCTTGTGGGTTTTCTTGAGTTTAGCCTTTCCCAAATCTCACTTCAGAAAAATTAATTTTATTCAGATAACTGGCAGATAGCTTAAAACTTTAGTTTTAACAATGTCACAGCTCCTGCAATTTTTCTTCAAATCATCAGAAAGTGACTCCAAGTTTCAAATGCTCTCTCCAATGAAAATTGGTTTATTTTGTTTGCACCACTTCACACTTTCCGTAATTAAAAAAAATGAATTGAGCCTATTGGTACAATTGTTTAAAAAATGCAATGCCCAGAATCAGTTTTATTAAAAAGTAAAATTCAAAGCTATGTTACCCATTGTGCCTCACTGTGAATACATTCTTTGCTCACACCAAAGTCTAAACACAAGACTCAGAGTGGTGCTTAAGGTGAAAGTTGATTTTATTTTCAATGTGTCATATCTCTTGCTTCAGCAGAAAAAGAAAAGAAAGAAACCATCAGCAACTATTTCTGGGATTCTTTAGAGGAGCACGGAGAGTGCTGCAACTTTCAGGATCGATTTTCTTCACAATTTGCGATATGGTTTCTCAGAAATGCTGTTTGGCAGTCCTGATAATTTCATGTGTTTTCAAACTCAACCCACCCAGGCTACACAGTTCAGTATTTTCAGCTCCTTTCATTTTCCCTTTCCCTTTAATTATAGAAGTCTCTATTCCCTTTTTTGTGGTCAAGAAAGATACTAAATGCTCCTATTTGTAGACTGAATATGCATTTGTTTTTCTCTAGACGATTCCTACACCACCATCGCCCTCCCCCCAATGCAGACGCTGTGATTGACGGTACTGCTAGGCAACAACACAACAACTCTTCGGACCCATCCTTTGGCTTTGGTGGATGTGGCACATGCAGGGCAGGGAGGAGATGGAGAAATAAAAGGCAAGTGAACACTCTAATTTTAAACCTGCACTGTAAAGCATTTTCCAAATGGAGATGGTGGAGCTTCGTGTCAGACCTGACTTTCTTTCCCAGAGCAACCCGGGGGCCTCTGTCCTGGGCTGGGGAGTTCGGGTCCAGCGGGTGCCGGGGTGCGCAGCGGGGGCTCCGCGAAGCGCCAGTGGGCGGGACGAGCCCCAAGCTCGGCCCCGCGCCGAGTCAGCCTGGCAGAGCCCAGTTGGAAAGAAAACTTCCCGCGGCCGGTTGAAATGAATCCCGGGTCCCGGCGATCGTCCCTCGCGGGCGGCGGGCTGAGGACGTGAGCCGGCCCGGGACCGCGAAGCTGGGCGGGGCCTACAGGGGGCGGGGCCTGCTGGGAGGGGGGCGGAGCCGGCAGGGGGCGCGCGGGGG